AAATGGACAAACAGAGGAGAGACAGGGGGGGAGGGCACATGAAAATACACACGCACAGTGCGCACCGCGCGCACGCGCACGCGCACGCGCGCACACACACACACGAGCAGATCAAGCTTAAGTAGACTCCAGAAAAAAAAACCCAGCCGATGCCTTCCTTGATTCATAATCTTGCATTAGCACATTTGCACGAGAATCCTGGCAGTTCTGATGTTCACTGCTCTATTGTGCTGTTGATTGATTCCATCATTGTAGCGCTTCAGTGCCGACTAGAGTCCACATGGGGGCCTGTTTTGTTTTTTTTTAACTAAAAAAAAAGAAGACTGAAATCCCAAGTTAACTGTGTCCCCCTAACAACATTTTTTTTTTCACATAAAAAAGCAGCCTAAACCCCTGACCTAATACATGTATAGGCCTATACTATAAATATTAAATTATCTACTTACGTATTTTTTGTTATGTCGTGAGAACAAGTATTAAGGCTTAGTCCGATTTAACCCTATGCGTACGCCTGGGGTCATTGTGTACCCCGGGGTTGTATTCTTCACATTTTAGAATACTTCTTGTACGAATTAAGATCTCTTTGAAACTTTCAGTATTTCTTTAAAAAATCATGTTGACAGACTGCTATGCAAGATAGTAAAACACGACGTACGGATAGGGTTAACGTAGCTTTTATTTCATACCATTCCCTTCAACTTCAAGGAAAACGCACGTTATATATAATTTCACGTTCCATCAAATAAACGGGGGAAAAAATCCCCCAACATAGAAGCAGAAAAGAAAATGTAATTCACATAATTCTATTTACTAGCCCTTCTGTCACGCCCATTAAAAAAAATTCGATGTTGTTTAGTTTTTTCTTTTCTCTTTCACCATTGTTGACAAATCGAGCCATCCCACTAATCCCACGCCCATTGTTTCCCAGGCCTACGGTCTCTCTCTGGTATAGCCTTGGCCTAGCCTAGGGCCTAGAGACTAGGCCTAGAGACCAGGTGAGTGAGGCCTTGGGCTATGCTGGATTTACAGGCCCTACTTTGCCATGATTGGTTGAAAATTGTCAAGGATGCAATGCATTATTTGACCTTCAAAGAAAGAGAACTCTTATTTCCAAAATAAGTTGCCAAGTCGGCATGCGATTACACTTTGGCCCGCCTACCCTTTTTGACATAAGCCTTCCAACGGAACCAGTAGTCTACAATAAGTTTTATATAACATTTGTAATAATAACATCGTGATTTAGTATTGCATCCAATAGTAATAATGAAATATTTGCACCTTATAATGAAATGCGTTTTATTTTGTTGTTCTGAAAGAGAGATGTGATTTTGAACTGCACAATAGATTCTAATGCAAATTCAAGATGCTGAACCTTGCTTTACCATTGCAATTTTGAGCCTCAACAAAATAATAATAATATGACATTTTATTTTTCAGGGTCCCAAAACATTGCAAGAATTCTGTTTCAATATAGAATTGCGTTTTTTATTCAAAGGTAAAACCACTTAGATATTCTGAAGAAAATATTTTGTAGACGTTTCTCTACATTTTGGCTTGAGGAGTCTTAGAAACCCGGCAACCACTCAGTGTTTCTTATTCTGAATTCAAAATATTGGCACGAAGCGAAAGGGAAGGCAGAAGGTCCAACGTTCACCAATAGATCTATCACCATCATGTTGGAAAATCAAGAGAATCAGCCTGAGCGTGTGATCCAGCATAAAATATCGAGGGAAAACATGATTTCCCTTCAACAAAAGATCTATTACTCTGACAAGTATACAGATGAGGAATTTGAATACAGGTAATGTTTACAACTGACACTCACAACAGTAACAGCACGGGCGGGTTGAACGAGTCTGAGCTTGTTCATCTGGTGATCTTATACTTTTAAACGTTAAATTCTTCAATTGAGGACTTCCGTAGCGAGCGACCTCTTTTAAATATCTAGATCTAGATCTAGATCTAGATTATACTCATCAATGGCTTCCAAAATCATAATAGAAGACCAAAAACCAATGTTATACCATCTGTCCATGACAAAATTACGGTAGTTTGCGCATTTTAAACAAGGCCCAGTTCAAAGTTTTGAAGATCTGAGTCGGGGATTAATACTAGACTAGAATCTAGTAGTAGACTAGATATCTAGATCTAATTGACTTTGGGAATTTAACGTGCTGAAGTATAAGATCACTGTTCATCTTCCTTAGCGATGGCTGTGTGCACACACAAGCCTATGATAATTTTTACATTTTACAAAAGTAGATCTAGAATATCTAGATTCTAGATCTATTCTAGATCTAGATCTAGATTCTAGATATAGTATATATCAGATCTAAATCTAGAGTAGATCTAGACTTTCTAGATTTAGATCTGGCTGTGGATCCAATGTCATATATTGTTATAATGTGTTCCATTTTTATGGACTTGTCAACCCCCCACCCTGGTTTGCTGTTTAAAAGAGTGAACACAAACCACAGTACCACAGTAAGTTGAGTAAGTAAGTAGACAGTCTATGGCCCATTTTTTTAAAAACGCCACCTCTATTTATTCTCACCCCCGCTGAGAATAGTGCAGGTGGGCTTTTTCAAGTTTTTGGCTATTCTCACCCGGTGTCTTCACCATGATAGGCCAACCAGTGTAGCGTTCACCATGAACAAACGTTCCACCAGCGTTTTTGTGTGTTGAAAGCATGCAATTTTGTCTGTGGGCAGTCAGAGAGAAAGAGAGGGCAGAAAGGAGTAGCACGAGAACTTCCGGGCAAAAGAAAAGGGTGACCCGCGAAGTTCGGCTTCATTCGAAAAGTCAAATAGCCATCTTTGTAGACAACGAAATTAGCTTACTTACACTGTGCTATCGTCACTGTGACTTTTCGGACTTTTTAACGTCTTCCGGGGCTTCCTTCGCCAGTTGACTAAATCTCACCGTGGCGGGCCCGCTTTGCCGCAAGTGATGGGCTACGACACTAGATCTAGGTTTCATCACCGACTGCTTGGGCTGTGTGTGTGTGCGCGCGCGTGTGTATGAGTGTGTGTGTGTGTGCGCATGAGAGTGCATATGTGTGTGTGCGCGCGCGCACACGCTTGTACCTTTTTATGATAGGCACTTGGATAAAAATTTCAAAGCTTTCAAATAAAAATTGCTTTAAAAACAATACCAATGCAAAGAGCTCAGTGACACGATTCCAACGCTACCTTAGTTATTGCTCTATGTTGAACCGTTTTTGAGATATGGCATTTTAAAGATCTTTTCGAGGGGATAACATCTATATAGAAAAAAAAGGCAATTTTTGTGATCGAAACAGCAAGGACAACAAGGGAAATGTTAGCTGCTTCAATATG